CTTAGTAATTCTCTTACTAAATTATGTTCTCTCCCATCTGGGCTTCACTTCTATTGAATATCCGACACATTTCGCTTATTACCCAGTGCTGACATCAACGACCGACTTATATTACTGCCACCCGTGCATCTATTCCGTAGCCATTGTCATTACTATCATCACAACAATCATCAACATCATCATCATCACCGTGGACTGGAGCTATCAGCAACCTAGACCCAATCATCAAGAGCAAGAACAAAGGCAAAAAAAAATCGATTTCATTCATACGCAATTGCGTTGAAATCTGTCAATGACACGTTCTCGATGTTCGCCTGCCACCCCCTGCACCTTTAGCCCCATTCCAAAGGGGGGATCCACCAATCCCACCAGATCCACTCTGCCCGTTTCAGTTCCTTTAGCAATATCCCTGCCACTGACAGACCCTCGCCCAAAGCTCTTCCATTCGAACTACTAGCACCTGTACAGGGGATTCTGCACTGAGAAAAATTTAAAATAAAATGCTATTGATGAGAAAATGATTAAGAGATATCGTAGGGAAATTAAATTATATATATGGGAATCTCAGGTTCCACACTGAAACTTCAGTTTTATTTATATTCAAAATCAAAAATAAATGTTTTTGTAAACCCTCAATAAATAATACAGTAATAGTTAAGAGGATATTACAACCTGTAAAAAATCTAGGTAATTCAATTAACAAATTACTGTAAATATTTTTTTCTGTGTAGGTTTCGGTTTGAGCCAAAGTGAGGGGAAAAGGGAATGCCTGCACACTCATCACGGCCATTGACAAGTAGCTGTCAGGCAGAAGGGTCAAGGGGGAAACACGAGCGAGCTGAACGAACCAACGAGCATCAGGACCACTTTTTGACACAAGTAACTGGGCTGGAACCCTTGCCCACGTCTATAGGGGGGTGGTGGTGGCTAGTGGGTGGTGGGTGGCGGGAGGCGGCGGCACACGCATCACAATGTGCCAAATCAAGCACAAAAATCCAATATCCTGCAATGAAACACAATTACACGGCGCACACAACTCGATTTTGGCCCGGCCAAGGTATTAATAATTTTGGCTTGCCAAAAATAATTGACACCCGTGAGTGTGTGGCCGGGGTCATGCGTGACTTTTCTCGCAGTGCAGGGCCCTGCATTGATTGTTACATGATGAAGTGCTATCGATGTCTGTTTCGTTTGACTGATTCTCAGATTCGATGGAAAAACGAGCAGCCCTCGAGCGTCGGCAGGTGTGTGCGTGAGTATCTGTGTAAGTGACGGTATCTGTGTCTCTAGACTCGAGCAATACGCGGCTGTGTGGGTATATGGAATTTAAGGCCCGGGCCCTGCACACTGGCCAAGTGCCGCCCAGGTCTTTTAAAGTGTAAGAAGACAAGGCTGGCATTCAAATCTCTGCCCCCAGCTCGATGACTTCACACATTCCTCAGCCTCGACGGCAACGGCAGCGGCAGAAGAACTTCCTTGAAAACCCCTGCCTAAGTGAAGAACTTAAACGTCGAACCAGTTTTTGGTGAATGAAAATCAACAAACCCAAAAGTTGCACACAGACTCCAAAAGAAGCTGAAGAAACCCGAAGCGGAGTACCAGAAAATACGAGGGGTTTCTTGGGGGGATCTTGGGGAGGCTAAGACCAAAGGAAGGGGCCTGGGCCCAAGCAGCTAAAATATAATAAAAAGAAATTAAAATAAAATTCAAAAATGTGCAAAACGAGACCGAGAACGAGAAATGCTGCATGCCAGTCTTCGGGAAATGGGAAAGAGGGAGCGGTGCTGGAGAAGAATCTCCATGGAACCTGTTGGACCAGTCACACACACATAGGCACACATACACCATGGAGAAAATGCCACCAACGTGTTTGTGCCAGGATAAAAGGCAAGCCGGGTCGGGCCATGTATGTCCATCTCTTTTTGGCCCGCTCCGGAGGATTTCAAGTGTAAAACGCTGTCGCTTGTGGAATGTGCACACAAACGTACAAGCTCACAGATACAACTGCATAGATAGCACAACATTTGGCCATATTTTGCTGCACTAAATCAAGCGTTTAAACGAAACTCGAGCTCAGAGCGCTCATATTTTCCTGATCGCCGAAAAAGAAGCACCATAATTTATAGATGCCGTTTGACTAAATTCGTTTAATTCCCGTCTTACCTTACCCACACATATATAATATCGTATAAGCCTACGTTTTACCTGTACAAAAAACGAAAAAAAAAAATAAACCAAGAGAGCGAGAAGTAAAAGGGTTTCGGTTTTGGTTTCGGTTTCTTTGGGACCTTCGCTCTCATCGATCGTTCCGTAGCGTACATTATAATTTATAACTTTATCTAAACGATGTGGTGGTGTTTAATTTTCGACCTCACCTTTTCCAGCTCGTTTTTGTTTTTTGTTGCCGTTTCGCCATCCCATCGTCATCATCATCATCAGCCTGGTTGTTTCTGATGTGGATTCGTTTCATTGGAGAACTGTTTCCGCTTCGCATGACTCACTTTTCGCTGTTAGCCCGCGGTCTTGGTTCTTCTTTTAACGTTTTTCTTTCTTATTTTTTGGGAGGTCTTTCTTTATCGCACACTAATTTGAATAGGATTCCATTTCGTGATGAACATATCACCGGGAACGGAAAACATCCATGGGGGGTGGGAGGGCGTTTGCGCCCAGCTGGACGCCCGATACACTGGGCCCTGCTGACCACCATGAAGTCCGCTCCCCGGCTATGTAGTATCTTGTTAATGAAGAAATAGATACACTGAGACGCCCCGAGACGCCGAGGTATTTAAGATCGAGGTCGGTGCCCGCGGGGGTGACGAGTGAAAGTCAGAAGAGAGTCGTCGGGTCGTGCATTGTCTGCCACACCGCTGCAGCCTCAAGACAATCGCTTCGTATTCGCAAATTGCAAAGGGAAAAAATCTCTGAGACTCGGAGAAAAAAAAAGGAAAGAAGAAAAGATACAGCCACACGTGCTGTGCGAGGTCATGACACGGCTATCCATTTAAATAGAAATGTTTAGCCCTAGGAAAATACTCTGGAGAGGCGTGAAATCCGAGCCTGCTCGACGAGTTCATCAAACCGATCGTAAAACACAACCAATGGAATACAATTAGAACTCATTCAGCCATCAATTAGAACCGAGCATGCAAATACTGTCCAGCGGCATCGATAAAAGCCCCGATTGAAAGCCACCGAGAACCCGAGAAGACCACTGTGAGATGGATTGATTTACGTTGAATATGCAAATTGCAGCGAACCACCGTTGAAAGCTTTTAGTGGAGCATTTCGAGAATTTGAATAAATATTTGGGCCCACTAGGCAGCGAAAAAAAATAATCAGCTCCTGGCAGATGATTCACAGGTGACACAGCCTGGGTAAACTTGGATTGGGCTCAAAAGAATGTCGGATGCCATAAATAAATTCGAACCCATTATTATAAAGTCTAGGGCGTAAACAGGATATTCGATATTGAAGAGGATGTGTGTCATATGGAGGAAATGGTTTACAAAAAAGTTTAATAAGAATTTAATTTTCAATTTTGAAATACTTTATTGGCTACAAATATTAAGGGCTCCCCAAAAATCTTTTTGTTATAAATGGACATAGTCGTGTAAGAAACATTTATTAAGCTTACTATATCATAAAAGTGTGAATCATAGGATTTGTGGACATTCTTTCGACAACTACAGATACTAATAGACGCCAAAACAATAAGTTGTCATGAGATTCATTCGCAATAAAGTGACGCAGACATACATAATACAACTAGATTATGTACTTTTGATTCTTAATTCCAGCTTAAGATTTTAAAATTACATTTTATGTAACTGGACAAGCATTTAATAAAGTTGGAGCCTTTCTAATCTTACAGCTTTTAAATAACTTATTGCAATACTTTAGTTTTTATATTTCATTTCTTATCATATTAGAGGTTTAGTTAAAAGTGTCGGAATGATCATCATTTGTATTCCAGCTCATACGAATTAGTAATATCTGGAATTAAATAATTAGTGGAAATAAATTAGTTGTTTATACTGGAGATTAAGTGTTAAGTCATCTGGGGCTAGACTATTCCACTATTAATTCATTCATTGCGCCACTGTGCCAACTTCTGTTCCTCCCTTATGCTCGAAGAGAGCGTTCGGCTGGTTCTCTTAGCGCCGACTGTCAAGTGCCGAGTGCTCTTGGCCCGCTCTTTCGTTCCGAGAGGCGAAGCACTCAGGGCGGATGGTTGATTTAATGGCTGATGTTGCAGTGAAGCAAAGTCAAACTCAATCTGTTCGGGTTGCTCGTCGTGGAAGGTTCGTTGCGCGCGCGGAAAAACTGAAAATCTCGAGGCGAAATTCGAGCGGAAAAGCGCTACAGAATAAGGCGAGTGCATTTCCTCGACCTGCGGACGCCGGTGGCTAAGGTTGCCAAGAAGCTTCGCAATTAAATCTATTTTCGCCGACATAAATACACAGAGCGTAGCGAAAAATCGAAGCAAAACGCAATCGCTGGCAAATCAATTGCTAAAGGAATTGAGTACTGTTCGGTGTTATGTCATGGAAAGTCTCTGAGCGATTTTCTTGAATAATTTAACAAAATATTTGTGTGAAATATTGCGACCTTTTAAAACTAAGGAAACAGAAAAAGTGCTAGAAGTGCGCTCTCTCTTCCACCAACCAGCAATCAACAACCAAAACCACCCACCATTCACTACCAATTTTATTGCTCACGCGTGTTTTTGGGGCCTTTTGTTTTGTGCGCTCGTATTTGTATTTGGCGTTGTATTTGTGGCCCTGTGCTTTAGTGTGTGTGCGTGTTAGCCGGCAAGTGCCTTTGTGTGTGTTGCCGCGAACAGCTGTTTCCCCCAGACAGCATGCAGAAGTAAATATACGAAAAAGTGGTGCGAATAAATTGAATCCCCATCCGAATCCGAATCGAATCGCGACCAAAGAGGAAAGCACAGGCAAATCAACCATCATCCTCTGTGTCTGCACAGAAGTCCATCCATCAAAATGGTGGCCAGCATCCGGCAGTTTCTGCTCTTCACCCTGCTCTGCTGCTTCGTCGGCCTGTCAGCCGCCAAGCACCTGGACCTGGAGGGCATCCACCACCATCAGCACCACCAGCACAGCGCCTCCACGCACCACCGGCGCCGCCTGCAGCGGGACTCCCGGGCGAAGGACGCGGCGGGCGGACCGACCCAAAAGTGCGAGGCCATCAAGAGTTACTTCGAATCGATCGACATCAAGTCGAGTGGGACTTACAGCGAAAAAGGTATAGTTCTAGCTTTAAGGCTAGTGGTCATGATATCGAAACCATACCCAAATATGCGGGCTAGAAGCTGGAAAGCTGTAGGGGGGAAGTTCAAGCTACCAATATGTTTTAGGTGCCCCAGGTGTAATTCTTTTGGGTTTTGTATCATTGGAAAAATGTTGAAAGCGTCTAAATACCTTTCTTTTTGTGGTTTTTCAATCGTAATTTTGACAGTTTTTTAGCAGCTAACAACCTTAGCCAACGATATCCATCAAATGTATTTTTTGACAAATTTTCCCGTTTTTTATATGGGGTTACATCATGATTTTTTTGCAAAAATCGCCAAAAAAATTGTCCAGGTTTTAATGCATATCGATTTGGAATTCAATTAGAAGCTTAACGAGGTATGACATTCCTTCTTTTGAAATTCGCACCATTTGACTGTAGACCAATAGAAAATGCTCGAAATAAAAAAGGCAACAAGACCATTTCCTAAAAACAAAAGTTATTTTGTATGTTTTATATTGTGCTTCAAGAAATCAGAGATCAAGAACAAAAGACAAATAGGACAGAAAGTATTCAGATCGGTTAGAATCTGAAGATATTTAAAATAGTTTCCAATATTGATAAACATTTTATTTCGACAGCTAAATTATTTTATTATAATTCTCAGATTGTCAATTTAATTTATTTTATTGTATTTAAAAACTAAGTCTTTTTCAAACCATTTGATTTTGATTCGTTACCCATTGTGGAAATTCATTCCCTCAATTGAAGACTTAACTTTAACGCTCGCCATCAGGCTTAAATACTTCAACCAAGAAAGTCGCGCGTCAGCCAAAACTTTTGGCGTCCTGCAGCTGCAGTTTCTCTTCTTTCCCGAACCGTCGCAGTTCCCCATTCCCCCCTCGAAATCCGCGAGAAGCTGGCAGCATATGCAAATTCATTGAACTGACTGAAACCCTCGAGCGGGCAGCCACTCGAGGCGAACTATGACCACTCGAACAGCCGGGCGCCGTTTGCAATTAGAAGATTGCGCATTGAGCAACGCCTCGGAAAGTTTTCGACGGGCCGTGGATAAAGTTTTTGGTCGGGGCAGGTTCATTACATCTCGCAGATACAGATACTGAGACAGATACAGATACATCCACAGAGATACACAGGCTGCATCATTTGTTATTCTGATTTCTCGACACTGCCATATCAAGTGGCACGCATCTGAAGCCAAACTGTGTGAAGGCTATGGGAGGTGTATTTATATACATACCTCAGCGGATATCCACCAGATACTCGACATATTTTTGTTTATGCATATTTCACACATGAGTGCTGGGCTGGCAAACGAAGTCAGAAAAATCCAAGCAAAGACAATACAAAGCGATACAATCAGATAAGATCGGAAAACAGACGAAAACGAGCGAATGTACAGATACGTATCTGTGGCACAGAGACGTGTAATTGAGTGAAAAATAATTATTATTGATTAACCGACCTTGACTTGGTATTTACGCGTTTACGCACAATTACATGATACACAGCCACGAACTCGAACCAACCTGGCATACAAATGTATCTGGCGATGATGTTGCAACTTTTCCAGTGCTTACCTGTCTGCAGAGGTTCTCATTCCCATTGCTATTCTTATTCTTATTCTTTTTTATTTTTCCTTTTCCTTAGCCGACTCTGGTTGTGGCTCGTTCTTTCGTTTCCCACACGCAGGTAGTTAACGCCAAGAAGTATCTATGAGATACATTGCTGAGCAGCCCGGAGAAGTGTGAAGAACAGAGCAGAACCGACCGAGAATGAGAGTTGGAGTTACAAGTGCATGTTTGTGTGTCCCAGAGACTTATCCACCTGAATGCCTGAATGCCCAATTGAGCTGGTAGTTGGGAGTTATTAGCGTTGGCTTTCAGGAATTTCAATTTGGCTAATGCTAATGCCAGTCGTCGTATCTCCGATCAGCACCTATGTATCTCAGTATCTCAGTATCTCTGTGTGTTTGTGTATCTGTGCCCTGGTCGTTGCTCCTGCTTGAGTATGCCGAACTTTGTTTTCGACATTTATTTACTGTTTACATAGTTCCACTTCCCCTCCGCCTCCCTGTTATTTATGCCCCGCCAAAGTATCTGTATCCGTATCTCCATCTATATCTCTTTCTGTTTGCTCTCGAGTGTGTTACTTTTACGTTTATGTGCTGTTTGTGATGCTAATCTCATGCATACGATAAATGTCTCTCTTTTTCGCCGTGCTGCTCCAGGCAGAGGCGCTCGGCATAAAACTAAATTTTAATTTAATTGCGCACACCACTCGACTGCTAATTGAGTTGCTTTTTGCCTGGCCAAAAAGAAGACCCATTTTCTCTGGCTATTAACACGGGCATTAAGGCGTTCGAAAGACGAACAGGAAGTCGTTCGTAGTTGCAGTATCTAATCATATCGCGCAGTATCTGTATCTGTTTGCCCACAAGTATCTGTGGTACCTGTGCGTATGCCCAAGGCGGCTCCAATGCCCCGCGTCGTGTTACTAAATATTTAAGCAACTCGCAACAGAAATTAGAGCAAACTATGAGATATGAGCCCGTGTATCCGCGTATCTCCTCCGCCAGCGAGTGTTTTTGTGTGCCGCCCGGCTAGATAAGTGAAAAGTGCAAATAGAGAAGGCAAAGGCAAACGTGACTCGTTTGCAGTGGGAGCGGGGAAAACTGCTTACCAGGCAGACAACTTTTTTCTTTAGTTTTCAAACGGATTCCATTTCCATGACAGCAAGCCATGTGTGCCTGCTGCAGTTTTTGGTGCGTGGGTTATGGGTGCTCCTTCAAAGGAACCTCCCAAGCATCCCTGAGTTCGCATTTTAATTAACTCAAAAGCTGCGCAAATACCACATACTGAAATCATTAGTGGATGGGGGAGCACTGCCAATTAAAAGTTCAACTTCCATTCCGGGCGACGCCAAATGGCATAGAACTCCACTTAAGGCTTAACGGCAAACATAAATGTGCCAAATTTCGACTAAGCGAAATTCGTCAAAGAGTAGCTAAACCCATCAAGCAGAACCGAAAACGATCCACAACACTTATGTCTTGAGTCTTATGTCTCATGCCGATCGTTAAGTTCGTCAGCCAAATTCCAATAGCCCAGAAACTCGTTTCTTGTTTTGGTTTATTCATGAGATACGTGTTTGGCTTTTGTCCGGAATATCTGGAAGATAATTAAAAATTTATTTCTGTTCTGTTCCAGTTGCAGTCTGAGCTACCCTTTCAGATCGATGCCCACCTCCATCTCCGAACCGAACTTATCTCATCAATTAAGTTTTGAGTTCTTTTCAGTTGAGTTTAATTGCCGCCTCTTTCTCCCGATCAATTAAACTCTAAGCCAGACAAAATTCTTAATTGATTTGGTGCTGGACGCAAAACTAATTACGACTGCGTTTTAAGTAGTTTACGAAGGTTTCGTCCAGTTGCTTAATGGTTAGAAATGAGTTTCCTACTCCGCTTTCTCACTCCGAGTCAAGTGGAAATGGTCGATGGGTTCGAGGATAGTGGCTTGAAAGTTGGCTTAATCGTCATTCATTAGGGCACGTCTTTGTTTAATGCCTCGGAAAAGCTAAAACGTGGGAAAAGCACTTGGAGGGCTCTGAAAAATAAGTCTGGCATCGATAAATCACCGCTAAGGAGTTAATATACATTTTACTTGCAGTAAAATTACCTTTTTAAGGAATAAGAATGGTAATAACTATCTTAGCTCCTCTTTATGTCTTTTTAATGTTTTATTTATTTTAATAACTATGGCAAAACAAACATCCGGCATTTATTGGCAGCATAAAATAAAGGTAAAAAGCTTAACTCTTGATAAGATACAAAAACCGCTTCCTACACATTTGTACTCAAGGGCTTATCATCAATCTTAGAGAAGCGTTTTATGCACCCATAAATCGAAATACAACCTATTTTTCTTGCTCGATGTTCGAAACAGAGGTCTTCATCGGCATGCCACTCGATTGCTGATATTACAAAACGCCCTAAAATGGTTTTAGATTTTTTATATTTGCGCTAATTAGTTTCAATTAAAATTAACGACGCCTATGCCCATCGATTTCACACGCATATAAAAAAGGCAAAAAAGCAAGCAAATGGCAGCGAGCAAAACATAAAAATCTTGCCTTTGTATGTGGCTACTTTCTTAATGTTTGCTTTAGTTTTGTGTTTTTACACATCTGACCTCAATACAAAAGGCAATTCGAGAGTGGCTCGATTCGGTTTCCAGTGTTTCAGTGTTCAGTGTTCAGTGTTCGAGTTCTGTTTAATTTCAGATGGCTGTTTCGAAGGCGGAATGATGTCATTGATTGGCTTTCTGGGTTCCGTGCGTGAAGTATCTGGTAGTTCTCAGAGATCCGTTTATCCAGATGTTGTCGGCTGCTCGCATTCAAATTGCTGAATATCATTCATTCTCAGGTGTGCTCGGTTCATTGAGGGAACAAAACGATTTCCAGGAAGGCACCATTCTACATAACAAAACTTGAGCGGTAGTGACAATTTTTGTCGTTCGGCCTGTAAATACATATCTCATTTTCATTCATGCCTCGCGAGTCTCGACTTTAGACTTCAGACATGATGAGTTCAGTTCAAGTTGGCTCGAATCCGAACCAGTTTGGGTCGTGTTTCACTTACCACGAGAGGTCGTCTTGCTGTCCGCACATTTTAATTAGAATCGAGGCAAAGTGGAAGCAATTAAGTATGCCCGAAGCTTGTCCAAAGGAAGTTGTCAACTTGTTGGACTCTTCCGCTTGGACATGCTCCGATTCCATCCCCATTTGTTATAGCTGATAATGGTTTTGGAACTGGAATGCATTCCCCGATAAGAGACTTGCAGGTCTCTTGACTGGCGATAAGATAAACTTCGAATGGCAACCAATTAAATATTTAGCGCTGGCCTACCTTTCTGTGTATCTGCTGGATGCGCCCCTGAGAGCCATAAAATGTGTGAAATTCGTCTAGGACAGGTAGTAGATACATTTGTATCTCACGCTCTTGGTACCTGCCAGCAGCTATTTTTAAACGTTCACCAGTAAATTCGTCAAACAAACAAACAAACGAGCGAACGAACGCAAGAGGTTGCAGGCAGCAATTGTGAACGTATCTGTATCCGTATCTGTTTGTTTATATGTAGCAATAGGCTATGGCCAAAAGCCAAGGCGGTGCTTCTATGGGCGATACCATTTTCCACTCCTTTTGACCGATTTGCTTTGGTCAATGTCGGGGCAACTCGTTGTTGCTTATGCAACGCCGATGATGCAGCAGCCGCAGCAGCAGTAGCAAAGTCAAAGCCAAATTCGCCGACGACTTACTCACTGGGAACACTTAACCCCTCCCCAAAACCAGATACTCCGATACCCTCGATACCTTCCCGATCTCCATCATCGTTTTGAGTTCTGGGCTCATTGTTTGGCCCATGTCTTTTGTGCCGCGTAATCGTTGTTTTCCAATGAACACACACAAACGATACAAACGTCGCCGGATTCTTTAGTTTTTGTGTTTTTTTGATTCATGGATGCCAGTTGATTCCCTTCGTTTGGATTGTTATGTTCACGGAAAAGGTAGAGGTTAATGCCTAGTGAAGTGTGCACAGCATCGGCAAAGAATGGAAGATAAAGATACAGATACAAATGCAGATATGTGGATACATAACTAACTAGTTGGCATTTCCGGGGCCGTAGAGCGTGTAATCGGATTGGGTTTGCCGGTGGAAAAGCATCTTATTTATTCGGTACTTGTCTAATTTGGTAAACACGTTCGACACCCTTCTTTTGAGATGTGGTAAACACTTTTTCACCTTTTCGGTCGAGAGATCGCCAAAACATTTATCCCATTTGTGTGGACTCCATCCCCCAGTTGTCTCCTAGTCCCTAACTCGTATTTACATTGTGCCATGTCTGGGGCCGCGCATAAATCAATTATTTGCACCTAAAGCCCATAAATCATTTTATGACGAGCAACAGCAAAAGACAAACATTGGACTGGTCAAAAGCGCAGACATGTGGAGAGGGGGTGAAACGCGAAAAGCCCTCCACTGAGCCAAAAAGGCTAGCAAATTGTCGAAGTTGATTCTCTTTTTTTTTCTTTTCTTTTTCGGTCCTAAGTGCCCTGAAAGCCCGGCTAATATGGCGTTGGCGGCTTGTCTTGTTATCGCAGCAGCAACAAAGGCCAAGGCAATAAAAATATAAAAACCCACACATCATATGTGTGAATGATTTCTGAAAATGACCAAAGGCACTTTGATTTCGCCTTGTTGTTTTCTGTAGAGCTTTACCTAAGCCCGAGTTTTTTTCCTTTTTTTTTGGGTATTTCGACTTCATTCAATCGCCATTCGAGGCGCTCTCTTTATTTTGTTACCCTATTTGCTCGGCTCTTTATTCCTGCCTCTATTTGTTGTTGTACATTTATACGGTTTATTGACTTTGGCCGGAGTTTCTTTCGTTCTTAGCCACTTTTTTTCGCAGACTAAGATCAAGTATTAACAAGAGTGGAAGTAAATGCAAACAATAACAAAAGTGTTGAATATGTGTAGAGGGTGTCGGAGGAGTAAAAAACAGGAGACTTAACTTTTTAATCTAAGAAGTTAGGAAGTTAAGGGCAGCTAACAAATTTAGTAAATTACTTGAACACGGAGATAATTAACTTTTATGTTTAAAAAAATATTCCAGGCATATTGGGAGCTGAAAATATAATATCACAATTAATAGAATTAATTTTTAGCACTCCAATTTACACACACCGATGATTGACTAATTTCCTATTTCTATTTGCTCTTCTCCATTTGCAGGTGCGTATTCCGAACTGAATGTCAGAACAAACAGGGAAATGTTATCTGCACAAATGTTTGCCTTCACCGGTCATACAGCAGTGTACTAGATACAGATATCGGGTATCTGTGTATCTGTGCTGGTAAGTTGGCCCCCTTCAGATAAGGCCCCCAAATGCGCAGTCAACGAGACAGCTTGGCGATGCGACCCCTCGCCGGATTATAATTTCAGAGGTGTTCGAGTGTGGATGAGTTAAACCCATCTAGGGATCATCAATCATTTCATAATAAATGCGCGAATCAACGCCAACGCTCAAAAACAAACAGCGACTAACTAAAAGCCAAAAATAATCAAAATAAAAACAAAGACAAAAGCTAAACCAAAAGCGGTAACCAAAAAAATCCCCCTACGCGGTGGCGATACAGAAATCCACCAAAATATGAATATAAATGCGAGCTGAGCTCTGGCAGAACAGTAGGAAAATTTAATATAACCTAAAACAGGGGAAGGGGGATTGTGAGGGACTGCTGCTTTGTCTGCAACTCGATGCCACACCATTCACTTTTCGTTATTAATATATTTTTTCGGTTAAAATTATGCTAATCCGTTGAAATATGATTATGCCGAATGACAACGGCGTGACGGGGGCGGAGGGCGTGGCAGATCGGTCGCATATATATGTATTAAGTCGGCAGGTGTGCCCATTAAAGCGAGGGCTTGTGCATAATTTGATTGCCTTTCGCAGCTAATTTCGTTTACTGGGAAACCCGAGAGCCGAAAACCGAGAACAGAGCACTCTCGTCTAATTAAATACATGACGGAAATTTTCATATTAAATCATTTGCGAACTCTTCTCGGCGAACCCAGGGTTGAAGTGAAACTTTTTCAATTAAAGGAAAGTCGACCTTCAAAGCAAACAAATTTCGAAAATGAAATTGCAGGCGAAAAAGTAATTTAATTAGCTTAACCCAAATAGGAATAAACAAAACGAAACCGAATCAGAAACAGAGAAAAGTCCTTCCCTTTCGCCGAGTCTCCAAGTCTCGAATCGAAAGGGTTTCTCTTCGCGTGCTTTTTCTTTTGGCCGAGAAAGTTTCATTTCCTTGAAACGGTGGTGCCAGTCGCCAAACTTGGAGGCGCCAAAAGCAAAGGCAAAAACGCTGGCCTAAAAGCTATGCAAATTGGAACTGGCCAAGTGTTGACTTCCGTCATCTGCAAATTAATTTTTGAAAATTCCTAGAAAGTTAAGGGGACTTTCCTTTCAGGATCAAGGAATTTATGCAATTTTTAAGACTTCTCGATAGCTTTAAACAACATCCCCAAGGCTGAAATGTCATTCGCCTACCAATAGATCGTTGGTTTTTTTGATTACGTCCTCTGAATAATTCAAAAACACACATCTAGGCAGTAATTTCATCAAAATTTCAGTAGACCATGTCCGGCAATTTGTTCAAATGGACTGTTCTTGGCCGGCAGCCAAGAACCGCCGGCTTGACAGCCAATCGAAGGATCCTCCGTCTGGCGGACGATGCGATTGCCCGGTTTCGTAAGCCATTTTTCGAGTCCTGGCGACGTCGCCGGCGCTTCGAGGAGTACGAAAAGAGGGAGATTCCAGCGCGGCAGCAAGTTCCAAGGATCCGACGCATTCGCTATCCGGGAACTAAGGAAAATCCCTTTCACAGAAAACCCGACTATTTGCCGGGAAAGGGTGAAGTGCTAGAGCCCACTCGCATCCAGCCACCTAGGAATTCCATGTGCTATTCTGCTATAAGATTCTTTGGTAGCTCCTCCACTGGTGGAGGATCTGGTGAACCACCGGAGGATCGTGAGGGAAAGCTTATCAAGTTCCCTGTGGGTTCTCGTTCGGGAAAGCCGAAAACGGGGAAGATTGAGATCTTGGAAAAGAAACCGCTCGAAGCTTCTCAGTCGGAATTAATATCAGGATTGTCTGGAAAGTCCACAAAGGCTCTGGATCAATCGGGAAAAGACGGAAAGGATGAGGAACCCGAGAATGTATTGTATAATTCGTTTGCAGATCATATGAGCGCATCAGGGGAAATACCTAGGGATTTCAATGATCACTCAGGAATTCAATCGCAGCCTCCAGAACGAAGTCAAAGTGGCAGCAGTTCACCAACTGGTAGTAAACCGCCTACTGGAAGGAATCCGCCTACCAAACCGCCTTTAGGACCCAGTGATCCTTCAGGTACTCCTCCTAACAATCCTTTTAAGCCACCGACGAAAAAACCCAATCATCCACTAAAGGGAGAAAAGCCTCCCAGTAAACCACCAATGGCTAAAAAACCTCCCAAGCCTGCAAGTAAATCACCAACAGGAAGCAAACCTCCCAGTAAACCTCCTACGGGAAGTAAACCTACCAGTAAAACACCTGTAGCAAGTAAACCTCCTGGTAAAGCGCCTACTAAACCTCCCAGCAAACCACCAACTGCAAGTAAACCTCCAGGTAAATCACCACCTGGACCCAAGGCCCCAACAGGAGGAGGCGCCAGTAAGAAAGGCGGCGCAGCTGGGGGCAAGTCTGGCAAGGATTCGGGTGGCTCAAGAGTCATAACCCTAATGCCGGGCGATGGCATTGGACCGGAGATATCGATGGCCGTCATTAAGATCCTGGAGGCCGCAAAGGCACCTCTGATCTTCGAGCCCGTGGACGTGACACCTGTTACGAATAGCAAGGGTCAGACAACGGTGCCCGAACAGGTGATCGAAAGCATGAACCGCACAAAGGTGGGCCTGAAGGGACCCCTGATGACACCCGTGGGTACTGGCTTCCGCTCCCTGAATCTCACCCTGCGCCAGCTCTTTAACCTATATGCCAACATTCGACCCTGCAGATCTTTGCCCGGTGTGGAGACCATTTACGGGGAGGTGGACATCGTGACCATTCGCGAGAACACCGAGGGCGAGTACTCGGGCATCGAGCACACTCTGGTCAACGGAGTGGTGCAGAGCATCAAGCTGATCACGAGGAATGCCTCCTTGCGAGTGGCCGAGTACGCCTTTCAGTACGCTTTGGCCATGAAGAGGAAAAAGGTAACAGCAGTCGCGGAATCACTGGTCATGCGGATGTCGGATGGATTATTCCTTCGCTGCGTCCGGGAAATGGCCGAGAAATACAAGAGCAAAATGGACCAAGCGGGCATTAAGTATGAGGAATCCAACATGACCACCGTCTGCCTGAATATCGTCCAGGATCCCAGGCGATACGATATGCTGGTGCTGCCCAATCTGTACGGCGACATCATCTCGGACACGTGTGCCGGATTGATCGGAGGACTGGGACTGACCCCCTCGGGAAATGTGGGAACCAATGGTGCCATCTTCGAGTCGGTACATGGAACTGCTCCGGATATCGCGGGCAAGGATTTGGCCAATCCTACCGCCCTCCTGCTCTCCTCCGTGATGATGCTGCACTACATCGGGTTGCACGAACATGCGGATAACATAGAACAGGCTGTGCTGAAGACTATCAAAGATGACAATATCCGCACCATGGATTTGGGCGGCAAGGCCAAGTGCTCCGAGTACACCGACGCATTGATCAAGAACCTCAAGTGATCTCTACGAATTAAGATTTAATATTTTGTAAAGCTTAATTAATATACAGGCTGTCCTTTGAATGGTTATCAGGATAAATCTTTTACCGCAAGATATTTAATAAAATAATGTCCCCTATTTATCATTTTTTGGATATTCAATTAGAGCTCCTATCTTTCGTGCAAAAATGACTTTGTCAAACCTTCAAAGCATGAGTTATCTGATGGCTCTGATCACACTAATTTCGCAACAGGCCATATGAAGTAACCAAACATCACAGGAAACCGCCAGCTCTTGGACGAAAAGTCAAAAGCCAAGCCAGACTGAATCAGCAGAGACCACAATGCCATTCCGACTGCCCTGAAAAGTGCTGAAAACCCCCCGCCTGCCCGAAAATTCCCAGCCAGCCAGTCTAACCAGTGCCAAAGTCAAAGTCGAACTGCCAGAGAGCCAGAGTCAGTCAGTCTCTTTGGCCGGGCGCAAGTCATCAACCGCATCACATGGTCGGTAACTGGGAACTCTGGTTCCTGCCCACTCCCCTTAGTCCCCTGGCCAAGTTACGTTGCATTTTTACATGCATGTTCTGTTCGGTTCTCGGGTCCCAAGCACAAACTGAAACTCAAACTCCGGCTGGGACTCTCGACTCCTCGGTGAGCTGCGTTTAAAAGCACCGACCCTTCTCCTAAACAAACCGAAACTACTAGCCAACAGCAGCAGCCAAGCAAGTAAAAATTTTATGGTGAGGGGAAACGACTAGGAGATACCCTGTAAGGGGTTAATTATGCATTTTTCGTAGTCTGCTTTTTTGCTTAAATAGGGGTTTTGTTTACTTTTGAAGTTATGATAGATGGAAATCAGTTTTCTTTTCAAATAAAATATTTTAAACCTAATGTGATGATTTCCAAATTAGAAAATTGAAGAGGGAAGTGATTAGAATTTTTACCTAATTTGGTTTTTAAGAACCAAAGTTCAAGAGTGACTTTGGAATGATATACCTATTCTATAAACCAGAACTACTGGGTATAAACGAAAAGAACAACAAGTAAGGGCACTCCTTGGTTCGGCGTTCAGTGGAGCGTGCAAGAAAAAAGAGCAGGAAGAAAATGCCACAGAATCAGCCAAAGAGCCATATAAAAATTAAAAAGAAACCAAAGGAAAAAATTTAATTTTGTGTGCTAGAGCGGGACAAAGCGATGTTGAGTTGGTGTGTGTGTGAGTGCATTTCAAAGAATTTTGATAAATAACAAAACCGGCGGAGGAAAAGAGAGGGAGATCGAGGAGCCAAAAGATAAACTCCGTTTTGTGTATGTGAAACAAAAGTCGAGAATTTTTCAACGCACTGTAACCGGTTTTCGGTTTCATTTTCCCCCCTTGCAACCCCCTCACCCACCCCCTAAAAAACAAAACTGAAAACTTCTGAAGCTGACACCATGGCCGTGGTCAGGAAGCGGAAAAGGGGGTGGCCTCGGCCGAAAAGGGGGGCAGCTGGATGCGGCCTAGTTGTCGCTGTCTCCCATTCATGAGCCCTCAACTGCAACTCAACTGCAGTAGTCGCCCAATTTCAATTGGCCCAACACGCAAAGGCCAAGTTCTGCTGACTCTCGAGTTTTTCCTTCTTTTTTCCAGTCTTCAAAATTCCAGCGAATTCTGGCACAATTGCGGATAGACCAAGAGCAGCGGGAGCAGCAAAAAAAGTGGGCGCCATAATTGCCATGCAGCATGCCACTCCGCTCATTAGAATGCTAATTTGTAAATGCAATCCGTCGGCTGGTCTTTTTCGTTGGCCCGAGCTGTGAACATTTGTGCCCTCGTAATTGCCCCCGCGGACTTGATTTTTCCCTGGAAATGCCGCAACACGAGTCCCACGAATGATGGCCAGCAAATTATAAGTTTTTAATGCCATCCCATCGCAGACAATGTAAACAGATTTTAATGGAGGCAGTGGAAAGCGAAATGAGATCACTTCTCCTCACAAATAGAACGCTAATCGTATGGGCATACCAAGAAATTAATTCTTAGAAACAACTAGAATACAAAGATATTACCTTTATTTTATCTTAGAATATTTGCTTTTCTATCTCACCCAGTAATTAGCAAGTCACAACGATAGATAAGCAAAATAATTCATATTTTGGCATATTGATTAGGAAAATTATCAGCACTCGACTATTTATAGTTATCTGGCTGCCTTCGATTTATATTTTAAAGTGCCTTTCTTTCATTCTTTCTTTTCCTCCGGCTTACTTTTCCATTAGGCGATAAATTCACTCATCCATAACCTCGCTGGCTGCTTGAAGAGGGGTTTAGTTTGATGGGTTTTGGAGTTAACCCCAACTTGAAAACTGATTTTCCATGTTCGTACACACATTTTCACGCCCAACCCATCGACCCATTGCTATCCCACCCCCTCTTGACATGGGTTCCAGGCACTTTTACAAAGATTTACGACCGCTGTCAATAGAGCTTTGCATAACACAAACTTCCACTCGGCAGCAGAAACAAAACAGGCGCTACAAAAAAGTATTTTCGAATTTAAATCTATTTGTCACTTGCAAAACTTTTGCTACCTTTTCACCAGCAGCACTCGCTCACTCGTTTGTCCAAAGGTCGGACCATCGGACCATTGGACCATCGCACAAAAAAAGGTAATGCAAAGTGGCAGTTACAAATTTGCTGAAATCAAATGCGGGATGAACAACAACAACAGTAGCAACTAGAGGGGGTGCAAAAAATAAGACCGGAAATATATGGGACAGAGCACCAAAACGTTCCATTTAAATGAGCTGGATTGTCCTACACTTGGGTGTCCAACCCAACTCCGGAACTTGTTTTGTCTTGGCCTAAACCGCCACCCCTGGAACAATTTTCCTAATGCCCTTTTCAATCGAGGTAGCCTCCCCGAATCCCAGAGAGGCTAAACACTCCATTGCAGAGACAAGTGGGAATGATCATACGACAAGGTATAGGTTCAATATTACCCTGTAATGAAAGTTGTCATGCTTTCTTAGAAATATAATATTTAGTTATTTATATTTCATGTAATTAATGCAGTTAATATCTAGGGGAAAAATGTAATAATGTAAAATAAAATATTATAATAACAAACTAAACCTCCTATAAATTCCCATGTACCCTCTCTTAAAAAAAATACTGGGTCTGCCATGCTCCATCTAGATGGAACAATAAGAAACTGGGGAAAAAAATGATTTGCATTTATTTATCTTGGTAGCTCTTCATCGTCCTCCGCCTGTGTTTGAATTTGTTATTATTCTCGCACTTCGGGGCTCTCCGTATTGTTGGGTCCGCTCCTTCCACCTCATCAACCCTCTGCCAGCAACCCAAACTCCATTTGGATCCACTCCCCTCCTTTTCCTCGCCCTGCTCCACTAAACATTTCTATGCGGCGATGATAAAAATAATCCCATTTATTGTTTAATGCTTAATAAATAAAGCAATTCTTATTTATTTGCCAGCAGTTTGTTGCTGTTTGTGTTTCAGTTGTTTCTTTTCCATTCTTTTCGCTTGCTTTTGCTTTCGTGCAATTGCGTTCTGTGTGCTTTATTGATTTTTATGCCTCGAAGATGGTTGTGCTCGTGGTTGTGGTTGTTGTTATCGCCAGCAAAATACCATCAATTGTTTATTGTTTTGATAATGCGTTCGGTTGTACTTTATTGTTTGTACTTGTGTCGAGGGTTTTGCGTGCAATCGTGGGAATCATCGATAAGGCCTTCGTGTCGACGTAACAACTGCTAGCAAAGCGATAGTTAATTGGGATCAAATTGAATGTGGTTTCTATATACCGATAGAGAGCACAATTAATAGAAATATTTAGGGGGTAATGGATTCCCATTAAGCTCTTTTATAGAAATGGTGGCTTCATTTTGCCTAGATCGCCTAACAATACCAATTCAGTCAAAGCTTTTTAAGTTTCAGCTTTGACTGAACTTGAATGCCAATTATTGGCTGTATAAATATTAATAAACTATAGCTATTCTTATGGCTCAAACTAGTTTTCCAATTTATTTATAACAAAGATTGATAATAATCTTCGAGTGGCGCCTCAACTTGGGCTTTGATATATTCATAGAAAAAAGGCATTGTCTTTTATTCAACCTTTAAGTTACAAAAACTTCAAGCTATTGAGGTTAAAGATATCGAATTTAGAGATGTTTATTTCATTAAGCAAAAGTAGCTATAAACTTGGGAAAGGCCTAACCTTTCATTTATTTCACAAGATTTCTTGTTTATCCTGGTCACACTGTTATCCCTACCTTTTCAATCTTGGTCACACTTCCTTGCGCTAATCTTTGAATTAGTTGGACCTGACTTTACTTTAATTTGCTGGAGCTTAAGCCCCAGCTTAAGATGCATCTTTTGCTCCAATCTACATGGCAGCCAATTGGCCCGATTCAGGATAATGGTGTTCAAAGTCCCATCGGGTTCGCATCCGTTCCGTTCACGTGTTAAACAGGAAACCCGCTCGGGGTCTCCGTTGTTCCGCCAACTATCGCGTTTCCCATCAACATCCCGATATATATACACACATAGTGTGCCGTGCATCCTGCCTTTCTGCCTGATTTGCCCAATTGTGCGGCTCTAGGAAAACTGCGGAGAGCCGGGACGACCGGGAAGCATAATAAAATTGATTGCATTTTTCACGCTGGAAGCTTGGCTTCCTCGGAGCTCACGACCCAGTTATTCCACATGAGCCGCCGTCAAGAGCCCGGGTCCTTACATGCCGCCAAAAAACGGCAAAAAAAGGGAAAATATCACGGAAAATGGGAAATAATACAAGGGAACAACTTTTGCATAATGCGCTTGCACTTGCAAACAAAACCCGAGGCCCACTCGCCCGGTGCATAATAGATTTTCCGTCCAGCCGAACATGGAGTGGAACTCCGGAACTTTAGGTGCACGGTGACCTTAGTCGGGATGTTCGGGGGTTCATTGCCTTGCAGGTCAGCAGCTCTCGAGCTCGAGCCACATTTTCGGCCTGGCCTGCTTAAAATTTCATACTGTTTATTAATTTCCAGCAGTTCCTGTTCCTATACACACTCCTCGTTGGCCCTGTGCTTGCCCCGTGTTTGCCCAACTTTTCCCACGGCCTCTGCGCGGCTGTCGTCTCATTTCAAATTTACAACT